GAGCTAAACATACTTCTCTGTGTGGGAGCTAAACATACTTCTCTGTGTGGGAGCTAAACATACTTCTCTGTGTGGGAGCTTAACATACTTCTCTGTGTGGGAGCTAAACATACTTCTCTGTGTGGGAGCTTAACATACTTCTCTGTGTGGGAGCTAAACATACTTCTCTGTGTGGGAGCTAAACATTGTGTGGGAGCTAAACATACTTCTCTGTGTGGGAGCTTAACATACTTCTCTGTGTGGGAGCTAAACATACTTCTCTGTGTGGGAGCTAAACATACTTCTCTGTGTGGGAGCTAAACATACTTCTCTGTGTGGGAGCTAAACATTGTGTGGGAGCTAAACATACTTCTCTGTGTGGGAGCTAAACATACTTCTCTGTGTGGGAGCTTAACATACTTCTCTGTGTGGGAGCTAAACATACTTCTCTGTGTGGGAGCTTAACATACTTCTCTGTGTGGGAGCTTAACATACTTCTCTGTGTGGGAGCTAATCATACTCTCTATAGGAGCTAAACATACTTTTCTTTTGGACGACTCGATCCCAAACATACGTAACCCTAAATCCTGTCAGCCATGTTTTTTTTTAAAATTCTGCCGGGTAGATGACCAAAACATAAACAATACCAATCTAGCTCCACAGTCTCACCAATACACAATCACAATCAGCTCAGGACCAGGTACAGACGACAGGTGAAGGCACGGGCTCAGCCAGTTTGATTGGAGCTATTGAACTCTGTAGCAAATGAGCTACAATTGAATGTTTTGATTCAAGGATATCTTATATCGTATGTATGTGCGTACTGGAACGACTAGTTGTAAGGTAAACCTGCGCAATATATATATATATATATATATATATATATATATATATATATATATATATATATATATATATATATATATATATATATATATATATATATATATATATATATATATATATATATATATATATATATATATTGTACAATTAAATTAAAACGCACACATATGTATATAAAAATATATAAAACGTACATATATAGCGCAGTTTTAAATGAATATTTTAAACTTTGAAATCCACTTGGGGCTTTGATCACCTCAAGGTGTAAAAAAAAAGCCCTTGAGACCAAATCTCACAACAGGACTGAGCTATCTGATACAGAAATCGAAAGCTTGAAGACCAAAGTGTTGGTGACAGTCACGTGATACAGAGGCCAGTAAAAGTCTGCGGCAGGTAGCCGAATCTAAGCCGTATCGATTTTTGTTCTCGTGATCAGCGCCACTTGTAAACAAGGGTGGGATTACACCTGGTCTACTACTTTACACTACATCTATCTTAAAGGAATACACTACACCTACACCTATCATAAGGTAATACACTACACCTACACATGTCATAAAGTAATACACTACACCTACACCTATCATAAGGTAATACACTACACCTACACATGTCATAAAGTAATACACTACACCTACACATGTCATAAAGTAATACACTACACCTACACCTATCTTAAAGTAATACACTACACCTACACCTATCATAAAGTAATACACTACACCTACACCTATCATAAAGTAATACACTACACCTACACCTATCATAAGGTAATACACTACACCTACACATGTCATAAAGTAATACACTACACCTACACCTATCATAAGGTAATACACTACACCTACACATGTCATAAAGTAATACACTACACCTACACATGTCATAAAGTAATACACTACACCTACACCTATCTTAAAGTAATACACTACACCTACACCTATCATAAAGTAATACACTACACCTACACCTATCATAAAGCAATTCACTACACCTACACCTATCATAAAGCAATACACTACACCTATCATAAAGCAATACACTACACCTATCATAAAGCAATACACTACACCTATCATAAAGCAATACACTACACCTATCATAAAGCAATACACTACACCTATCATAAAGCAATACACTACACCTATCATAAAGCAATACACTACACCTATCATAAAGCAATACACTACACCTATCATAAAGCAATACACTACACCTATCATAAAGCAATACACTACACCTACACCTATCATAAAGCAATTCACTACACCTACACCTATCATAAAGCAATTCACTACACCTACACCTATCATAAAGCAATACACTACACCTATCATAAAGCAATACACTACACCTATCATAAAGCAATACACTACACCTATCATAAAGCAATACACTACACCTATCATAAAGCAATACACTACACCTATCATAAAGCAATACACTACACCTACACCTATCATAAAGCAATTCACTACACCTACACCTATCATAAAGCAATACACTACACCTATCATAAAGCAATACACCACACCTACACCTATCATAAAGCAATACACTATACCTATTATAAAGTAATCACAAATTAATGACAGTAAACAGTTTTAATCGTACAAGAATAAAATAAAAAGATTGTTGATTCAACTTAATATACAGGTTGTTTTTATGGCGTGGTAAAAAAAATATGAACGGCCTATCTACACCCCTAGTCGATGTTTTAAAGTTTTTGTTCATCCATGGTACACACTCCACTCTGTTCTCTAGACCTACACCAGAGGCGTAGCGACCCTTCCCGGCGCCCGGGGACAAACTTTCGATTTGCACCCCCCCCCCCCCCTTAAACTTTCAATTTGTTTTTCAAACCCATTTTGGCGCCCCCCCCCCTAAGGTCGGCGCCCGGGGACATATGTCCCCCCCTCGCTACGCCTCTGACCTATACTGCTAACTGTTCTTCTAGAACTTTACTATGGTCTGTCTTCAAAACTTGACTGTAACTTGACTGTGTTTAAACTGTCAACTAAACACCTTTTACGCGTTAGATGTACGTCGCAGTTAACTTACCTGTTTGATCATTTTTTATTGATCTGAAATCAAAGTTTGCGTTCATTGTTTGAATAGAAAATAGGAAATCTACAAAGCAGCCCACATGAGGCTACAGTAAAAAAACAACACACATTTAAATCAAGTCGCGTTAAGAACAATTTATCTTCAGCTCAAGGAAAAGGGAAACTTTATTGTTTTGTTTACTGGATAAATTTATCTTTAGCCCAGAGAAAATGGAAACTTTATTGTTTTGTTTACTGGATAAATTAAACATGCGACCTTTGACATGGTTGATTTAAGCTGACAATGTATTTCCTATGGCCCCTGGCTGAATATATTTCCTAGGGTACATGCCGAAGCTGTTTCCGAGGGCCTCGCGCTTAATATATTTCCAAGGGCCCCTTGCTGAATATATTTGCTAGGGGCCCTTGAATATTTTAAATCGAAGTGTGTGTAGCAGTTGTTTAGAAAGTTGAATGAGCTCAAATCAGTCCAAGAGAAACCACGAGTCTATGAAAGATCAGGAATCTTGACAGAGGCTCTGTTAGTTGCCCCCCCCCCCAATCTGACACTACTTTCTAGTAAGTCAAGCGATACAATAACAAGTACAATGTTAGTAGAATATTAATTGGTCGACATTTTCTTGTTGTGATTATCCCCAGATTTTTTTGAAAAATCAATAAGGCTTGACACCAACCATTGTCCAAGTTTAATCTTGAAATTTAAGTCCTAAAAAATTAGACGAGTTTCGCAATCACACTTAAACCCTCATAACACATACAAGCCGGGCTTTTATTTCTCTCTGGGTAATTGAGATGTCAACAGGGACCGGATGTTCTAGTGTCGGGTACCGGATGTGACGTCATCGGCAGAGAGGTGGGTTTAATATGGCGGTGGTTTATGCAAGTGGTTTATAAAAATAGCCGGGTGCTGTGAGATATGTGTTCTACCGCTCACTATTCGCTTAACTATTGGGGGTGGGGGGGTGGGGGGTGGGGGGTGGAGGGGGAGGAGAGGGGGAGAGAGAGAGGTCTCGTACATTGTTTACTAACATCCATCAGCCTAGTGATCTGCTATGGCTGGGTGTCCGACAGAAGCGTAGCGAGGGGGGGGGGGGACATATGTCCCCGGGCGCCGATCTTAGGGGGCGCCAAAATGGGTTGGAAAAATAAATTGAAAGGTTGAGGGAGGTGCAAATCAAAAGTTTGAGGGGGGGGGGGATGCAAATCGAAATCTCGAGGGGGGGGTACAAATCGAAAGTTTGAGGGGGGGGGGGGTGCAAATCGAAATCTCGAGGGGGGGGGGTGCAAATCGAAAAGTTTGTCCCCGGGCGCCGGGAAGGGTCGCTACGCCTCTGGTGTCCGAACTTGCTTCTGGTAACACGAAAGCATTGGGTTCGGTTCCTACTCATACCCACAGCCAATTACATAATCTAAAGTTCCCAAATCGGACCTGAAGATCCGTTGGACACTGCATATGAGGGGATGGTCTGACAGCGCTATGCCCAGCTGCCTAAAGTGGTTCAAGTACCCATTACAGCTGGGTGTGCTCCGGGACGTCACACAGTAGTTTTAATATAATAAAGTTCTGAAAAAAAAAAGAAAGAAACCATTTATCATATCTATTTAATACAGTTGAAATGTCTACGTTTTCTTCTTTGTTTAAAAAATATACTTAACTTTCAATTGCATTCATATTGTCTTTATGCTTAATATCTCTACTGTCTGTTAAATAAAAATAAAAATAAAAAAAAAACCGGTCATAAGCATAATTCAGAATTTAAGTTCGATATTAAATGAATTTAAAAATCAACATATTAAAGTGACTATCGATTTTACAATCTATATGATCGGTTTATTCAAAGAAAGCCAAATATGAAGCATGTATGAAAAGTTTGGCCGGAGTAGTACAAAAACCTAGCCATAGAGTAAACATTACATTGTTGATTCTCGTGCACGGGCAGACGCGGGAAGAATACTGTATCAGTGTCAACAGACTCCACCTTCTGTCTATAGTTACATCACACCTGTTTCATAGTTACTAGTAACAAATATAAAAGGCTTTAAATAATTTAAAAAAAAATGTATTGACTCTGAATTGTTGTTATAATTTTGAAATGTTTTTTTTTTCAGGAGAAGATAATCGGTACAACCATGTGAATGTTTGAGTAACGGTTCCTGGATAATCACGTGATCACATTTGTCTGATCACAGAAAGCGAAAGTAGATTTTGACGTCATTCACGATGGGGTGTGGCGGCTCCAAGACGACAGTGAAGGAGGGAACAAAGAAGAATCAGGTAACGGCTGGTATTCATGGGTGGGGTGGGGGGGGGGGGGGTATAAAATAACGACAAGTTTCAACCCAGGGGAAATTAAAACCTAACTTCACGGGTGAAGATAAAAAGTTTCTATTTTATGGAAAGTCAACAATTTTACCGGGGAAAAACAGCTTCCATGTTGAAGTTAACAAATAAGTTTCCATTTATATATTACAAAAAAGGTTTTCTTTCGTGTGAAAATTACCATAGGTTTACCTCTAGGTGTGTCGGACCATAGTACTTGGTACGGAGTAAAGTTCCCTGTTGCTATGGCTACGACAAACAATACGGTTGTGTGGTCAGCACAGTACGCAGTTATTTTGACCCCCCTCTCCGGCCGACACACAAACCACCAATGACATAGTCATATTCAAATCGGGTACATGCATGACAACATTATGTAAATAACATGAGAAAACCATGTGGATGATTTGAGCATAAAGCTACCTGGTCTATCATATCCGACCACACAAACTTGGCTAGTGGTCACTTGATCTGTCATATAAGATAAAAAACTATATAAATTTGATTATTTGTAACATAATATGCTGTATTTTCTCTCTTGAGCTCTATATATTTTCTCTATTGACTTCTATTTTCTCTATTGAGTTCTATTTTCTCCGTTGAGCTCTATGTATTTTCTCTATTGAGTTCTATTTTCTCTATTGAGCTCTTTATATTTTCTCTATTGAGTTCAATTTTCTCTATTGAGTTCTATTTTCTCTATTGAGCTCTCTATATTTTCTCTATTGAGCTCTGTATTTTCCTATGAAATATATTTTTTTCCCAACGATGTGCAAGTAGAAGTTGATTGACTTAAGAAAATCGATCTGATTGAATTCTCTTTCACGGTTCAATAAACCTGTCAATAAAAGACTCTGAGGAATCCGCCCGATCGTGCATAGCGTGTCATCACGTGGTCAATAATCGATCCGGTCCATTAACTTTTAACGACACTGACCTTTGACCCGCGATTGACAGAAATAATCCTCTCCAACTTAACAATATCCGGCTAAGGAAATTCTAGTGAGCACTTTTCTTAAGATTTTTTTTCTTAAATCAGTGAAATGCAACGAAAATAATGCCAGTAATTCATCAATAAACATTCTATAAACTCAAATTTTTAGTTGTTTATTTAACACTTGAAGATTTTGAAGACATTGAAATACTGTCTAGGTTAATAAAATCAATTTTATTGTCACAAAGTTTTTCCGGCTGATTTTCTTTGTTGACATAGGTTTACAATGAAAAAAAAACCATGTATTGTGATTATTCATAATTCCGTTGATTATTCTCATCCAAGCCAGATTATATTAAATCTTTTTGATCAAAAATGTATTTTTGTCCATATACCCTTTGATGTACAAAAATCGGATACACTATTACAATCAAATGTTAGTCTAGCAGTTTAAAAAATTGCTCTCTGTCGTCATAGGTTACGCCCAAGAAACAGACCAATCAACATCCGGATCACCATGAAGCCGACCCCCACCCCCACCAAGACAGACGGGACCCTAAAGGCACACACAACAGCAACACCATGACACACAACAACAACACCACGACCAACAACCTCAACTACTACCCCTCCCCCAAACACACGGACAACCCCAGCCCCAGCCCCCGCCATGCCAAGAGCACCCAGTCCCCCTACCCCCAGTCCAAGTATGTGGCGGCGTCCAGCTATACGGAGTCAGTTCATGATGACGCTTACCCAGAGGCGTCACACCAGGGCTACAAGGTAAGAAGTTACTTGGCTACTGCACTCGGTAAGAGTCAGTTGCTTAGAGTAATGTATGGGCGTTATCCACCTAATAGGGCTGGTAAGTAGGTCACAAACCAGTTCTATGGCTCATGTAGGTTTTATTGAGCCGTAGAAGTGGTTGGTGACCTACTTACTAGCCCTATTACTGCACTCAAAGCATATCAGGTACCTGGTTACTATAATCGTTATGAATCAGAGTATTAATTACTTCGCTTAATGAACATTAGTTTTACTTAATGCACTGAATGGGAATTAGTTACTTAATTACCAGTTACTTGCTAAATGTACTGTACGGAAATTAGTTTCCCAATTTTTATGAGAATATGAAACTATAGGAATAACTTATCTAAATAATGCCTTGTATAGGGCGTCAGCTATTTAATTACTGCTCTGTATGGGAATCAGATATTTACTGTATTACTCGTAAATCGCTTTCTTAATGGAGACAAGCGAGTTGACGAGATTCCTTCCATAGTATTGTTGACATGGAATAAAAACGTGCTTTTTAGATTTAGACCGTAAAAAAAAAATTAAAAAAATAAAAACTTAAGCCTAAAATTAATTTAGAAATTTTATATTTTTAGAATAAATGCTATAAAAGTTGCAAATCCAGAGAACTTGAAAATAATTTGTCGAGTTTAAGGCTACATTTCTATTTATTTTCATCAAGCCTAAGTTATAACCGGATGTTTCACTTTCGTAAGACAAATATTGATTGGCTGTACAGTAACTTAGTGGTCGATAACTATTTGTTTACAAAACTTTGCAGATCAAGTTTTTAAATAACAATGCAAATTTAAAACCCCATGACCTAGTTTTCTATTTTTAGCTTACAGTGTGTACAATAAAATTCATGTCGGCCTATCCAATAGCAGGATGCCATTGTTTATGTCGCCATTACACGTGAAAACCAAATTGTTTTTGCTTTTTTTTTAATTTTTATTTAGTTACCGAAAATATTAAAAACATCAAATACGTCCAATCTTTAGTAAAGTCCGAAAAAAACCAGACAGACAGGATTTTAAAACCATATTAATTGTAACTACGCCGTGCAAGATTTTTAAATTAATTTATGCACCTCTCAAATACCTTTGAGACTTTTCTCGCTTGTGTCCATTACTGCAGCTACTTAATTGATGCACTGTATGCGAATAAGGTACTTAGTTAAATACCACGGAGTACAAATAGATTTTATGAACTTGGTAGATACGCTATATGGGTGATTGGGAGAGGTTGTAAGACCATATATCATATGAAATACGTTTTATATAGTCTTGAAAGTAAAATGGAGGAAAAATGTTAGAATCAAAGTCATTAAATTAATAGGAGCAGGTTGGGAGGGGGTGGGGTTGAGCTTTGTGGTTTTTTAAAAGATCGATATGGCTTTTTGTGATGACGTGGCTCAGTGGGTGAGAGGGTGAGGTGGGGGGGGGGGGGAGTCGACATGACGAGACGCCATGTACAGACAATTCCTAATTACCGCAGTCCATGTGAATAAGCTGATTAATTACTGCACTTTTATACGCATAAGGGACTTAATTAGAATTATCGACTCGACTGCTGCATAATTAAACACTATTATTGTTTAGTGGTTAAGGGGGAGGGTCGTGGAGAGAGGTACATTCTACCTGGAGCCATCAACCTTGATTTACCTGCGCCCTCATAGTACAGTTGTCCTACAGCTGGCACCTCGCTGCCATCAAAGAAAGATTTCACAAAATTTGTCGCCCCCCCCCCCCCCAACTTCACTTATATAACAAAAAGTAAAACTTCCTTAAAATGTGGCATCAAAGTTCTAACACCTACCCCCTGTAAAATAAAAAGATTTAAAAACTTAGGTTACATTATAAAAAACAAACTTTTCTTTCCCACACATAGCACATCGCCACAAAAGTCTAAATGACGTAATAAAACATGTTTTAAACTAAAAAAATTTCAGTACACATTCACTCCCTTTAACTAAAGCAAAATTAGGCTAAACAACAAAACGATTTAAAAAACCCTGCCATACACACGTCTTTGTGACCATAGCAACCATGACGTTTACATCCGACCACCAGCCATCATTAAAACTTAACTCCGCCCCTTTTAAATAATTCCAGAAACGGATCCGCACCCAGCTGATCCAGGCGACCCGGGGCAAGGACCTAGAGGCCCTGGAGCAGGCGATCAAAAAGTTTGAGAGCAATCGTATGGAGGATGCTGGCGACCTGACCCGGGCCAATGAGAGGCTGTACTTCCTCAAGCAGAAGAGAGGTAGGGGGGGGGGGGGGCTGGGGGCAGTGGGGGGGGGGGGTTCAGGTGAGGGGTGGCATTTGAGTGGTTCATGTGTGGGAATATGGGTATTGGATGTGTGGGTTTTAGGTATGGGGTGTGGGTAGTCGGCTGTGAATGGGTCATTTGTAAGGTGTGTGTGTGGTGTGGTGTGGGGATGGTTCAGGTATGGTAATTCGTAGTTCATGAGTGGGGGATAAGGTTAATCGATGTGAGGGGTTCAGGTGTAGGATAGAAGAGGTTTGCTGGTTTCACGTATAGGGTATGGGTAGTGATGGTGTGAGGGGTTGAAGGCGTAAACGTGTTTTTGTTTGATACGGTTCTAAAACAGGGGGAGGGGGGGGTCATCATTTATGTGAATTTTGATAAGGGTAATAGAATAATGGGACCGGGGGCGGGGGGGTTAACTGCAATAAGGCTTTTTGAATGTTATTAAACATTTAAAAATTTAAAACTTATGTCAAGCTCATAGACTTTTGACAAGTTTTCATATGTTGTCAAGTTTCCATATGTTGTCAAGTTTCCATATGTTGTCAAGTTTCCATATGTTGTCAAGTTTCCATATGTTGTCAAGTTTCCATATGTTGTCAAGTTTCCATATGTTGTCATGTTTCCATATGTTGTACCAGATCTCCGTGACGCCATCAGACGCAGCAACGTGGGGGTGCTAGAGAGGACAATCAAAGACGCCAGGAGCTGCCGATATGCTAATGAGCTACAACCTCAGATCGAGGCTGCTGAGAGAAAACTCGAGCACTTGAGGGAGTTGAACAAGTACAGCCATGACATCTTAGCTGTAAGTCTTGACATCATGACATCCTAGCAATGTGTCCCTGAATCACACTAATCCCACAACTTATCCCTGAATTATACTACTCCCACTACTAATCCCTGAATTACACTACTCCCACAACTAATCCCTGGATTACACTACTCTCACAACTAATCCCTGAATTACACTACTCCCACAACTAATTCCTGATTTACACTACTCCCACAACAAATCCATGGATTACACTAATCCCACAACTTATCCCTGAATTACACTACTCACACAACTAATCCCTGAATTACACTACTCCCACAACTAATCCCTGGATTACACTACTCTCACAACTAATTCCTGGATTACACTACTCCAACAACTAATCCCTGAATTACACTACTCCCACAACTAATCCCTGGACTACTACCCCCACAACAAACCCATGGATTACACTCCTCCCACAACAAATCCATGGATTACACTCCTCCCACAACAAATCCATGGATTACACTACTCCCACAACTAATCACTGGATTACACTACTCCAACAACTAATCCCTGAATTACACTACTCCCACAACTAATCCCTGGACTACTACCCCCACAACAAACCCATGGATTACACTACTCCCACAACAAATCCATGGATTACACTACTCCCACAACTAATCACTGGATTACACTACTCCCACAACAAATCCCTGGATTACACTCCTCCCATAACTAATCCCTGGATTATCCCAACTCCACAGATGGACCAGCACACCATCTCTGAGATCCACAGCTACCACCGTCCACCCGCCTGTGTGCATGACGTCATGGCCGCCTCCTACATGCTGCTGGGTCACCAAGAATCAACACTGCGCGTGAGTCCTCTCTGTACTCACCTACAACATAGCGGCCCTGTGCTAACTTATTTGAAATCATTTTCTCGTTTCAAAACTTTGTTTATTGTAATGTAGTACATGTCTTATAAATAAAATGTTTGTTGGGATCGACAAGTAAAACAAAACGTCCCTCGGATCAAATGAGATGTCCTATAGTTCAAATGATATGTCCTATAATCAAATGAGATGTCCTATAGTTCAAATGATATGTCCTATAATCAAATGAGATGTCCTATAGTTCAAATGATATGTCCTATATATGAAATGGGCGTGTCTTATTCCCCAGGACTGGTCCTACCTGCAGTCGATGGCCGGCAAGCTGGGCAAGGACAGCCTGATCCACCAGGTGAAGGACTTTGACTCCAACAACGTGGACGACCGGACGTCCAAGCGTGTCCGTGAGATCCTCAACTACCACGACCCTCGGGGAGGTCCGCGTGGCCAGCAACGGTGCTGCCACCTTCCACGTTTGGGTGAGTCTACGTCTGCTGGGGTCTGTGTGTGGGGCTAGGGTTGATGTGTACGTCTGCTGGCATCTATGAGTGGCTAGGGTTAATGTAGTTGTGGCTAAGAACTTGAGTGGTGTAGTTAAACATTTTTGGTGTGTGTCACCACTTTCCACTTCTATTTTTATTATTGAAAAGATTAAAAAAAAATTCAGGGTAAATTTTATGATTTTAAAAAATTTGATATCACCCCCAAATGGTTTCACTCGATGCGGAGCCTCCCCGCCACCCCCCCCCCCCCCCGGTCCTGTGGTGCTACTGCATACATGCACACATTGGTGTACATAAGCCATGAATATTAATTTTTACATGCATGATACAACAATATATTTATATAGAGAGAAGACCTATATATATTTTAATATATGTATAGTATATATACACAATTTCTTCCCCTGCCTTGTGTGCGCTGTGTAAGTGTATGTGTGTATTATGTGAAATAAACGCCCATTGTTTTTCCACAGGCTAGCAACATCGTGGACAAGATAGAGAAAGACAAACATGACTCCCGAAACAGGAGAGGACAGGAGGAGGAGGAGGAAGAGGAGAGGCGCCACGCGGAGGAGAGGCGCCACGCCGAGATGGCCAACAAGGCAGCCGCAACAAGCACGCCAAAAAAACAAGAGAAGATAACTCCTGGGATTACTCCCCTTGCCGAGCGTCATAAACAGCTGGTTTGGTCCGTCTAACTACCAGATTTCAACGGAAGTTGGTGAACATGCAGCATGCTCAGTTAAACACTGTTTTCTTAGAATACATTAAGCTAATCAAATACTGCTATAATTACATCCTGTTTGTATAAAGAAATCAATAAATATTGTTTATATATATATATATATATATATATATATATATATATATATATATATATATATATATATATATATATATATATATATATTTGTATGTACAATGTCACTAATGTCAATTTCAAAGTTTGCTTGTAATTCGTGGTGTTTGTGTACATGTATGACTGAAAATGGATTAATTAATTTGCATAACTATCACCATAAATTTGTATTCTATATCTATGAGGGAGGGGAAAAAAGTGATCGCCCTACAATTGTAAGCCTTTAATTTTTAGCTGGATCGAAAACATGTTAAATTCGATGAAGCAAATCGTTAATATTTTTGATTTAGGACTATTGAGTCTCTCGACTGAATTAAAGTACAAGATAATCGATTTCGTGTAATTTAAAGGGTTAGACCAACATTAGAATCAATTACACAAACCAATGAAAATCTGGTAGGGTGTTCATCAGAGCTTCTTCCAGGCATCTCTTCCGAAGAAAGTCTACCGCCCCCCCCCCCCCCCCCCCCCCCCACCCGCCGCCCCCGAACAAAATGAAATTTTTATAGAAGACATATTTTACCAGTTTACCAGTGTCCGCCCCCCCCCCCCCCCCGGAAAATGTTGACCGCCCCCCCCCCCCGAAAATATCAAGTGCCCCCCCCCCCCCGGAGAAAAAAGTATGGAAGAAACACTGGTGTTCATTACACCATAAATACCCAATCAGAATCCCTAATCTAAAAATCACAAATATAATTTAACTGACTTTAATCACGTGATTCTAACCACCAATCATTTCACTTATATTAATAGTATTTAATGTTAGTTGTGCTGGCCCAACATAGCGCTGACTGCTCACGTGACTTGATTGTTTTCTCTGTCTGTTTGATAAAATATAACTAGGCTGGTTGTAGTCCTTGTGAGCAAAGCGGAAATTTTTTGAGTGCTTTTTTATGTCATTATGGTTGGTTTAGTATCAGGGATTATTTCATGTAGTTATTAGTTTTCCTTTCATGCGGGGTGGGAATTGGCGGTGGGGGAGGGCGTGAGAAGGTTTATGGTAGCCTAGCGCAGCCGTTCCAATTTATTTGTCACTGAATCTCCCTTGAAAACACAGAACATTTTGGCATATATATATATATATATAAATATATATATATAAATATATATATATATATATATATATATATATATAATATATATATATATATATATATATATATATATTATATATATATATATATATATAACGTTTGTATAAATGTGATTGTATTCGTAATTCATGTAAACATTTATTGTACAGATAAAACACTTAAAACAACTGTTGTTTAATTAATGAAGTTTTTAAGACAAACATACTCAATAGAACGCAGTGAAGCCAACTTTAAAAAAAAAATAGCAAACCAGAAATGTGGTCATGAAACATGTATTTGAAGACTTGTAGATACGTCCGCTGATCCGCCATAGTAATCTGTATTCTAAGTGGTAACACTGTCTTGAGATAATTAGTTGGTAGCTGATCATCCTAGAGGCTAGACGTCGTGCTATTTAATGAAAACATGCGCTAAATAGATGGGGCTCAATTAATTACAATCAAGAGTTTAGTTTTAGCTGCAGCTGTTTCTCAAAGCTTATATGCTTGGAGCTTTAACAACTACACTGGCGTAAGAGCTGAACATGCTAGTCAATTAATTTTGGAGCTAAAGGCTTGTAATTTATTCCGGAGCTAAATATACTAGTAATTTAATATTGGAGCTCAATTTGTTAATAGTTTAAGTTTATTTTGGAGCTAAACTTGTCTGTAATGTAATTTAGGAATAAAACTTGCTAGTATTATAATCTTGGAGCGAATCTTGCTACTAATTTAATCTCATAGTGAAACTTGCTAGTATTTAAACCTTGGAGCAAATCTTGCTACTAATTTAATGTCAAAGCGAAACTTGTAGTATTTAAATCTTGGAGAGAAACTAATATTTAAAGCAGAAGGTAGCCGTTGGAGTTTTTGGTGAAATTGTAAACAAACTTTTATCGCAATCCATCGCAGTCTCGCATTAAATCAATAACTCAATCAGTGCCAGCACGCGATCAATAAACAAAATCACATTAATCGATACATGAGCACATTTGTCGGCAAACACCCAGAGGTGAGGTTTGTGTGGTCAGGGTGTTTCTGGCTGGGTGTGGTGTGTTACCTGAACACCATTAACACCTTTCACCTGCTTTCGTGGATTTGGTGAATTACTTCTGTGATTACATCTTTGGCTAGGTGTAAAGTCTCTTGTGTGATTACATCTTGGCTAGGTTTGTTGTGTGATTACATCTTTGGCTAGGTATATAGTTAGTTCTGTAGTGAGGCTATGGTCAGGTTAGTAGCTAGATATGTGAATGTATTGAATAAAACTCGCCCAATCGAACAAGACTTTACTTCAGCCACTGAGTTCTCGTACACAAGTTAACCTGAGCAAGATGGCTGACGACTTTCTTGTTTGACGTCAAAGAGAAGACCTTACTCGTCAGATAATTGACGTGAAGTGTGGCTGTAGGACGTCGTTAGGTTTGTAATGTTTGGGATGTGGCAGGAGGTATCAACATCATGATCTAAAGCCATGCAGCACTGGTCAGCGGTTATTGGAGTTCTAGTTTTAGTTTGGACGCCATGTGTCACACAAACTGTAAGTTCATGTTGACTATATCTATACACATACATCCATATATATATATATATATATATATATATATATATATATATATATATATATATATATATATATATATATATATATATATCTTGATAAACATAAAAGACTTAAGTCGTGACCAATAATCACAGTAGTAGTGTTTCTTTATATTTGGGTCAGTGACTGGCCTGGTTTGTACTTTTGTACTTCCGGTTTCAGGTGACGTCACCAGCGACCACCACTGGGGCCAGCAGGCCGGCCATCGAGAAAGAAATTCTAGGGCCACTTCGTGTCTGGCACATCATTGGTATCGTGGTCACAGTGCTTCTCATAGCTGGTCAGTGGGGGTGTGGGGGTGTGCGGGTGTGGAGGTATGTAGGGGGTGTGAGAGGGGTGGGTAGCAAATCATTGGTATCGTTGTCACTGTGCTGCTCATAGCTGGTCACTGGGGGGGGTGTGGAGATGGGGATGGAAGGTTCTGGCTTTGGTACTGGACACCTAGCGATAGGGGTCAGGTAAGGTGGGGGTGTAGAGGGGCGCATGATTTTCATACCAGGAGTTCTGTTAATTTCAATTTGGAGATTGACAAGTTGGGGCCATCAGTGTTAGCAGCATTCAGTCCTAATCAATTAAATGGATGTATGGGTTGTCTTTTCCTCCCATTAAATTCCTGTGACTGTTTTCTATGACGACACGTGATTTGTATCGCAGTTGTGATTGGCTGCTGTTGTTACCACGACTTCCGGGTGCCGCGGACACGACAGGAGATCAAGGCCAACCACGAGAAGCGGATGATGAACAAAAAATATTTGTTCGTTCTGGAGAGACGGCCTGACGACCTGCTCAAACCTGACCCAGGTAAATGTTACACCCCCCCGGTAACTGTTACACATGACCCAGGTAACTGTTACATCTGCCCCCCAGGCAAATGCTACACCTGACCCCTGGTAAATGTTACACCTGCCCCAAACAAATCTTACACGTGACCCAGGTAACTGTTACACACGACCCCAGGTAACTGTTACACCTGACCCAGGTAATTGTTACACCTGACCCAGGTAATTATTACACCTGACACCCCCCCCCCCCCCCAGGTAACTGTTACACATGACCCAGGTAATTGTTACACCTGACCCAGGTAATTGTTACACCTGACCCAGGTAATTATTACATCTGACAACCCCCCCAAGGTAACTGTTACACATGACCCAGGTAATTGTTACACCTGACCCAGGTAATTGTTACACCTGACCCAGGTAACTGTTACACCCGCCGCCGCCCCCCCCCCCCGTAACACCTGTCCCAGACAAATCTTACACCTGACCCCAGGTAACTGTTACACATGACCGGGCAAATGTTACGTCTGACCCAGGTAACTGTTACGCCTGACATTGGTAAATGTTACACCTGACCCAGGCAAATGCTAAACCTGACCCAGGTAGATGTTACACCTGACCCAGGTTGATGTTACATCTGAACCAGGTAAATAGTACACATGAGCCAGGTAATTGTTACACTGACCCGGGTAGATGTTACACCTGAACCAGGTAAATAGTACACATGAGCCAGGTAATTGTTACGCCTGACCCAGGTAACTGTTACGCCTGACATTGGTAAATGTTACACCTGACCCAGGCAAATGCTAAACCTGACCCAGGTAGATGTTACACCTGACCCAGGTTGATGTTACATCTGAACCAGGTAAATAGTACACATGAGCCAGGTAATTGTTACACCTGACCCAGGTAATTGTTACACTGACCCGGGTAGATGTTACACCTGAACCAGGTAAATAGTACACATGAGCCAGGTAATTGTTACGCCTGACCCAGGTAACTGTTACGCCTGACATTGGTAAATGTTACACCTGACCCAGGCAAATGCTAAACCTGACCCAGGTAGCTGTTACACCTGACCCAGGTAGATGTTACACCTGAACCAGGTAAATAGTACCCATGAGCCAGGTAATTGTTACACCTGACCCAGGTAAATTTTACCCGGGTAGATGTTACACCTGACCCAGGTAATTGTTACACTGACCCGGGTAGCTGTTACGCCTGACCCTGGTAGATGTTACACCTGACCCAGACAAATATAAGACTTGACCTAGGCACTTTCCGAGTTAGATTTTCAAATCTAACACACCCAGTAACTCACGTAGTTGTCTATCTGCTGGTATATTTTAAAGAGTTGTATTTTTGTAGTGGTGAAAATCTCCCCACACGACTGGATGTAATCGTGGCAAAGTCCAGTAATTTGTTTAATAAAGACATTGTAATCAAAGTTAATTAGTTAATTGATTACTTTCTTCAGAAAAACAAGCCACGAGAGCCAGGGAGCAGCCCCGCCCTAATCCACTAACCAATCACAGAACAGCTCCCAAACCACAGGTGCTCCCCAAACCTGCTCTTGACAGACCACGTGACACTTCCGGTGGCGGGAACCACGTGAAGGCAAAACGAGGCTGGGGCACGGCAGACGACTACACGGGTGTGCCCAGGACGCCCAAAAAAGTTGGGGTGGAGACGCCCCTGGCCATGCACCCCAAGGATCTGTTGTCCATGATGGCTAAAGTCAAGAAAACCAATGGGGCTAGAGAGTAGGGGTCTTGTTGTCAACGTCAAGACATTTTTTTTTTGGCTCAGAGAGTAGGCGGAACATTGTTGATGTTAAAGCCTAGACATTCGGCCTAGGGGGTAGATGGGGGGGGGGGGGGGGGGGGGGGGGGGAAGGCTTTTTCCTAAAGTCCAGATAATAGCTTGAAGTGGTGGTTGTTGGAGAAGATTGAGCACGCTGAAACTAAATGTTTCAACTTGAACTTACTAACATACTAGCCGGTAGTCTGGCTTTGGGTCGTATGGCCAACCATCCTACATACAGTCGTGGCCAGTCATCCTACATACAGTCGTATGACGAGTCATACTACATACAGTCGTATGACCAGTCATCCTACATACAGTCGTGGCCAGTCATCCTACATACAGTCGTATGACGAGTCATACTACATACAGTCGTATGATCCGTCATCCTACAAACAGTCGTATGACCCGGCACCTTCCGTACATTCATAAGACCGGTAATCCGGCATTTAGTCGTACGGCCGGAGATCCTACATAAAATACAAGTTCAAACATTAACTGTGGAGAGTCAGATTTTGAAAAATCTCGACAAGAATATCTCAATGTTGTACTGTGTTCATGTGTGATAAAATATAACAACATTTCCCATGTAGCAACGAACACTTGTACGGAGCAACTTCTTACACTGTCGTCTGTCAGTAAATTGTGAGGTAATTTTTGTGTGTGTGCTGAGTGAATAAAAAATCTAGAGAGTGGAGAATTACCCATCGGAAAACGTGGTTTACAGATTGAAATATACGAAGTTTAAAATTCAGAAATTTAATATAAATCCAGTAAGTTGAGAAAAAAGATTTACATATTTTAAAATTGCACATTTCATTGTGCTACTGTATGTAAAGGATATTTGCATTTCGAAAGTTGCTTAAAGATTTGAATTAATTTCAGATCCTAGAGCCCGCTCAGCTCTGATGGGTACATGACTCTAGTATACCCAGCTCTGATGGGTACCTGACTCTAGTCCACCCAGCTCTGATGGGTACCTGACTCTAGTCCACCCAGCTCTGATGGGTACCTGACTCTAGTCCACCCAGCTCTGATGGGTACCTGACTCTAGTCCACCCAGCTCTGATTGGTATGTTGGATTTTAAAAAATAACAAAATCAATCATCGTGTATCAATCAGAATGTTTAATATCATTTCTCATTTATTACTTGGAATAATATATTGCTTGTGGGAGATTACTTCTTAAAATCTGGATGTTACAGTAAAATTATAGACCATTATAATATAGTTGTTACTTTCCATCTTTGTTATCGTACTGTTATTGTTAATGGATAAGTATGACGATTAACATTGCTTTGTTTCAAGTTCATGTAACTTTTGCAGCCAGATGTATATAATTATAAATCAGATGAAAGGGAGCTAATTATTAAAGCAATGAAAAGTGAATATATATATATATATATATATATATATATATATATATATATATATATATATATATATATATATATATAAGAAGTAGAAAGAGAGAGTGGGAGGGTGTGAAGAAATAAGAGTAAGAAAAACCAACATACAATTGGGTAATGGAGCTAGCAGCTAAGGCAATGTTGACATGTAGCTTATAACAACAGAATGCCATAATATGACAGGTTAACGTCATACATATGTCATACATTAAAAAAGGAGTTTGTGTTAATTTTTTATGTTTCTGGAAAGACACGTGGGGGTAGGGGTGGGTGGCAAGTAATATTCCCTCTCTTGACAATCAAAACAAGATCTTATATTCACTAGCCTCACTTTAGTTCATGGGTGACAATTTTTACCAGAACGAAATAATTTAACATTTTAATAATATCGTTATTCCATAACCGTAAATCAAATCTTTAGTGGAACACATGGAGATGGGAAGGGGGGGGGGGGGTGGGGGGTAAGCACAAGATACTGAGAACCTCTGTGATAGATGTAGTGTGTAGTGACCAGCGCTAATGACGAGATGAATGATGAGATTGGTGAAACATTGCCGTGGTTCTACTAGCTCCATTGCTACAAGTGTAGGCCTACATTTTAGTGGAGTTTAAACATCAAGAGTATAACAATACATCAAACAGATAAAATTGATTTTAAAAAATTTAAAATTTCAATTTAGCATACTTTTTTATGATCTAAGCAAAAATCTTGAGATTTATTTATTTTAAGCGGCTTCTAATAAAGGGAAATAACCAACGAGTTTTGTTATGCAGCTAAAGTATGATTGAATTAATCCTCTTTTAAAAAGCAGACAAGGGCGTTTGTGCTGGTCAGCCCTCACACCTCTCACACTGACAGCTGGTAATGTCCTTGACCACGACGCTGACGCTCTGACTCATGATCTCGGTCTTATCCTTGTAGCACTGAGTCAGCAGAACTTCCTTAGACTCGGTTGTCTTCTCCTTACAGCAGCGGCAGTTCTAGCAGTAGAAAATAGAAGGGAATTAACTGCGAGCACATTTCTAGAAGAGAATTAACTGCTAACAAAGTCACTTGAAGGGAGTTAACTGCAAACAAATTACCAAAAGAAGTAAAGTGCAAACAAATTACCAAAAGAAGTGCAAACAAATTCACTAGAAGCAAATTGAATTTGAACAAACCCATTAAAAAAAACACGTAGCATAATTTTTAAAAATGCAGTAGATTTTAAAATAATTAAAAAAAATATATTATTACCAGCAGGTAAACTTACTTTAGTTCTTATATTATCTCAGTTATTTATAACACTACTTTCATATTTAACTTCATTTTGCTACCAACTTAAAGCCAATATACCCCTCCACATACCATAAAAAATGTCTTTCTATTTCGGGCTCTATTCTAGCGACTTCCTCCATCATACTTCATATTTCAAATCAAAGAATTCTTAACAATGATTTTTCAGGTGATGAAATTAGATGTTTTGTATTAAGGTTAAAAAACATTGTCAATGAAAGAAAATACACGGCAGGAAGAAGTATTACTATCGAAAATCGACGATGAAATGTGTAATACTAACACGAACAAAGAAGAAGAGCATACTAACACTGTATATTGCATGTCTGAGGCCAAAACATATAAATAGTGTTAGTGAATTCAACATTTTAAAGAGTTGGGCAACACTGATTAAGTTTTAGTTTGCGGTTGACAAGAGGTAACCTTAAATGGTGATACCTTCTTGAAGCGTGAGTAAAGAGTGACACGTTTAACATGAGACAGTGGTGCTACCTTCTTGAAGCGGGAGTAAAGAGTGACACGTTAAACATAAGACAGTGGTGATACCTTCTTGAAGCGTGAGTAAAGAGTGACACGTTAAACATAAGACAGTGGTGATACCTTCTTGAAGCGTGAGTAAAGAGTGACACGTTAAACATAAGACAGTGGTGATACCTTCTTGAAGCGTGAGTAAAGAGTGACACGTTAAACATAAGACAGTGGTGATACCTTCTTGAAGCGGGATAAAGAGTGACACGTTAAACATAAGACAGTGGTGATACCTTCTTGAAGCGTGAGTAAAGAGTGACACGTTAAACATAAGACAGTGGTGATACCTTCTTGAAGCGTGAGTAAAGAGTGACACGTTAAACATAAGACAGTGGTGATACCTTCTTGAAGCGTGAGTAAAGAGTGACACGTTAAACATAAGACAGTGGTGATACCTTCTTGAAGCGGGAGTAAAGAGTGACACGTTAAACATAAGACAGTGGTGATACCTTCTTGAAGCGTGAGTAAAGAGTGACACGTTAAACATAAGACAGTGGTGATACCTTCTTGAAGCGTGAGTAAAGAGTGACACGTTAAACATAAGACAGTGGTGATACCTTCTTGAAGCGTGAGTAAAGAGTGACACGTTAAACATAAGACAGTGGTGATACCTTCTTGAAGCGTGAGTAAAGAGTGACACGTTAAACATAAGACAGTGGTGATACCTTCTTGAAGCGGGAGTAAAGAGTGACACGTTAAACATAAGACAGTGGTGATACCTTCTTGAAGCGTGAGTAAAGAGTGACACGTTAAACATAAGACAGTGGTGATACCTTCTTGAAGCGTGAGTAAAGAGTGACACGTTAAACATAAGACAGTGGTGATACCTTCTTGAAGCGGGAGTAAAGAGTGACACGTTAAACATAAGACAGTGGTGATACCTTCTTGAAGCGTGAGTAAAGAGTGACACGTTAAACATAAGACAGTGGTGATACCTTCTTGAAGCCTGGATACAGGTTGACACTTGGAGTTACGCTCGACTCACACATTCCCTCACATTTGTTGAGTGTGGCTTGACCTATGCACATAGCGTTTATCGGTCGTCCATTTTGGTTGATGGTCATTTGCCTCGTGATTGGCACAATGGTCGTCTGTTAGGAAATTGTAGCATTGTTTTAATGTCATTACTATTTACAATTGGCACAATGGTCGTCTGTTAGGTAATGGTAGCATTTCTTTAATGTCATTACTATTTACAATTGGCACAATGGTCGTCTGTTAGGAAATGGCAGCATTATTTTAATGTCATTACTATTTACAAATTGGTACAATAGTCGTCTGTTGGTAAAAGGCAGCTTTATTTTAAAATGTCATCTATATATCTATATCTATATACTACTAAAAGTCAAGTTTGTTTACATGTTTGAATATTTATTTGTTTGTTTTTTTGTTTGCCTGATCGACTATTGCTCATGGTTGCACTCATCATGGAAAGCTGTAAAATAGTATGTAGGTAGAGAAAATTTTTTGTTTTAAGACAGACTGTTAATCACAAATTTATTTAAAGACGTTAATTAATTTATTGATTTATTCATAGTTAAATTAACCGTATTTTTTTTAACATGTTAATACTTTGAATAAACTTTGTGGGGATAGTGACGTCCCTTGATGTGTTTACTTTTTGGTTCAATAAAAATGGCGGACTCCATCATAGACTTTGTGGCCCATTCAAAAGTTTAACGCGTTACAAAGCTAATTTTCTGCCGGCTATAACTTAAACAATACGTCCGTTTGCTGTATTTATTACGTTCCAACACTTATATCAATTTTAAACTGTCTTTTTTCATTTAGTTTTACAATATATTTCTCTAGATCTAAAGATCAGCTGTCGAAGGAAAGTTATTTATAGATCTAGATCTAGAATCTAGGTCAAATCAAATCTAATTTTCTGTCGGTCATAACTTTAACAATACGTCCGTTTGCTGTATTTATTACGTTCCAACACTTATATCAATTTTCAACTGTCTTTTTTCATTTAGTTTTACAATAAATTTCTCTAGATCTACAGTCTGTCCAAGAAAGTTATTTATTTATAGATCTAGGTCTAGATCTAGAATCTAAATCTAGGTCAAATCAAAAATTTATTAGTTATAGATCTTAATACAAACCAAAAAAGAAACGAGACTTAAGCAAACCAGTCGTAGATCTAGAATATAGATAATTCTATCTAGATTTAGATAATAATGAGTTTCTATATACTAAAATATTTTAGACCTTTATTATTTTGTATAAATCTTTGTTTCGACTATGCAAATTTTGAAGTGCTGGCTCCAGGGCGTATTTGCGCAGCTTAAGATTCATACGCTGCTTCTACACCGGAATTTTGCTAAATTATAAACGTAAATTCTTAATATAGCTCAGTCGTAGATCTAAAATATAGATAATTCTATCTAGATTTAGATAATAGTGATTTTCTATATACTAAACTATTTTAGACCTTTATTATTTTATATAAATCTTTGTTTGGAATATGGTAATTTTGAAATGCTCGCTCCGGGCCTATCAGCGTAGCTAATGATTAGATCTATCTAGATCTAGATTCTAGATCTAGATCTAGCAAGAAAAACTAAACTTAAGACCTAAGCAAGCGAGTCGTAGAATCTAGATCTAGATAATTCTATCTAGATCTAGCTAATTTCAGAACTTCTTTATTTTATATAAATCTTTGTTTGGCTAATTTAAGATAAAATTTAATTTGAAATTTACTACTACTACTACTAGACTTAGATCTAGATCTATGCGCGTAAATCATGCTGCATAAGGAGACTCATAGTATAGTATAAAAATTCACGGTTGACGTTACGAGTAAATAGCTAAGTTGGTAGCGTAGCCGGCTCTCATGCGGTTGGCATAGTTTCGAGACCAATATGTTATTGATTTTTTTTTCAATTCTTTTTTTTAGATGTGAATGATAAAGTTGCCTATCTGAACTTGGCAGGATACAGGGCAGGTGAAGTAGAGTTCATCTGTTTCTTTGTCCTAAGCATATGAAAGGATAGTGTGGTCAGAGACATGCGCGGCTGGAATCGTTTTTTAAACGATAAAAACATGTCGTCTGAGACTTGGCGGGACACTGGGCAGGTGAAGTAGAGTTGAGTAGGTCACCTGTGACGTCAGTATATGAAGGGATAGTCCGAAATCTGTGTTTTCGGTGTTTTTAAAAGATAAAAAACATATTTTTGAACGTGGGGTCTGTTTTTTGTGACGATAAGTGACACTGCAGTAGCGTAGCGAGGAGGGGGGCGGGAGGGGGAGGGGGAGGGGAGGGGGGGAGGTGGAGGGGGGAAGGGGGGCGGGGGACATATGTTGGGGCGCCAAAATGGTTTGGAAAAATAAATTGAAAGGTTGAGGGGGGTGCAAATCGAAAGTTTGAGGGGGGGGGGGGCTGCAAATCGAAATCTTGCGGGGGGGGGGGGGGGGGTTCAAATCGAAAAGTTTGTCCCCGGGCGCCGGGAAGGGTCGCTATGCCTCTGAGTGACAGACGTGATGTTTTTTGATGGATGACCCCCGAAACCCACAGTTATCCAACGGATGACGGGTAGTCTAGTATACTACTAAAAGTCAACTTTGTTTACATGTTTGAATATTTATTTGTTTGCCTGATCGACTATTGCTCATGGTTGCACTCATCGTGGAAAGCTGTAAAATAGTATGTAGGTAGAGAAAAAATTTTGTTTTAAGACAGACTGTTAATCACACATTTATTTAAAGACGTTAATTAATTTATTGATTTATTCATAGTTAAATTAACCGTATTTTTTAAAAAATGTTAATACTTTGAATAAACTTTGTGGGGATAGTGACGTCCCTTGATGTGTTTACATTTTTGGTACAATAAAAATGGCGGACTCCATCATAGACTTTGTGGCCCATTCAAAAGTTTAACGCGTTACAAAGCTAATTTTCTGCCGGCTATAACTTAAACAATACGTCCGTTTGCTGTATTTATTACGTTCCAACACTTATATCAATTTTCAACTGTCTTTTTCATTTAGTTTTACGATAAATTTCTCTAGATCTAAAGATCAGCTGTCGAGAATCTAGCCTAGGCCCTAGGGCCTAGATTCTAGATCTAGATCTAGGTCACTAGACTGTGACTAGACTCAATGTAAATTCTAGATCTAGACTTAATGTAAATTCTACATCTAGAATCTATTTCGGGCCTTAATTATTTTATATAAATCTTTGTTTAGCTTCAATGATCATCTAATTCGAGAATACATGGGATTTTTTTGTTATCTAGGTTTTATATCTAGATATAGTAGGATTACTCACTAACTTGGAGGCGTGGTCGG